TAAGTTTACCACCGCATTTTTAAAGCATGTCCCGCCTGTCTGATCTCGATTTAGTAGCCACTGACGCAGATTGATTTGTCGATGATCGAAGCGATACTAAATAACATATCGATTCATTCATTCAGTGAAGAGATAAACTGGTGAGCTTCAGAATTCTGGAAAACAATTACGCAGTTACTATTGATGTTGTTTCAAGCTGTAATTCCAGGATAAGTAAACGTGATACTCTAGAGTCCTACGAAACGATAGGAGGATAATATTAAAACGAATCTTAATTGGGTTTCATTTATCATACTAAGGACATGGTTCGGTGGCAGGAGAAAATATCAACGAATCTTCGATTTTCAAAACATTATTTTAATTTATGTTACCTTAGAGAATGACTCTGTTACATAGAGACGCTGGGACTAGTTATTGGTTGTCTCATACACGAAAATACATTCGTATCAGGTCACCGCTTTTAAACGACATGTTTCGACAGCACGGAATGCATTAGCATTTTAACGTATAATACCTGCTTCATTGCAACGTAACTTATCAGCAGGACGAGCGACCATTGCCTGGTTTCTCCCCCTCCCCATTATATAATCTCTCCTCTCTCTCTCTTTCGGACTTCAAAGTCTTCAAAGATATTTGAAACTTCTGTGTAATGTCTCTTCTCTGATTCAGGAAACTTCTACTCAATTCTGAAATCTTATCCGCCTTTAAACTTGCCGCAGTGAATTTCACGTGACGTCATGTTTACTGCCGAAAAGTCACGGTGATTAAATGTCGGCATTAGATTCCTTTAGAGTCGAACGTTGTGCGGATTTCATCGCAAACTTAGCGCACAATGCACGAAGCTTATCTCTGACTTGTATTGTATAAACTCGGTCTCATTTTCCTCTTTTGTCCACACTGACAGACGTCCCGACAGATTTCGTCAGTGTACCCACGTAAATTGTGTGCAAATATCTCAGAATTCACCGGCACATGTTTCGTACATTCAGCGCTAAAAAATTACGAACATCAAGTTCAGGAAACGAGATTTAATGGAGGGGAAAGTAGCACAGTGGATTTCTGTGTTCCAAGTTCTCGTAAATCTTTGTTACTGGCGTTTTGTGCTGTGCAATTAGTTAAAACTCAAAGCATCAACTAGTGATATAATTATATTGCATCGCGCAAAGCAAAACAAATAATTTATCCTTTCTTTTGTTCTTTCTACAAGTGAAGATAGAAGGCAGAATAATTATACAAACTGAAGTTCATATCAAGAAAATATGGCAGGGCAGGAATTATTTTCTTCGTCATTATTGTCTGTTTCTGGAGATAAGATAGCAACTTAATTGCTGGTTACATTTAGATTTGCAGAAAATATTAATGCGCACACAATATTTTCATATCACTGAAATAAATTGGTACCGCATTCTCTACAGAGAAAATAAATAATTGCTTCTGTAATACGCCAATTACGCGAGGTAAGGAGCAGATTCTGAAAGATAGAATATCGCTAAACTTTGTGAAATAATTAAATTCTGCATTCACCAACAAATTATTCCTTAATGACCCAATTTAGGTACCGAATCATTTCGGTGCATGATACCTTAAAATGTACTTATTTAAGGACAAACAAGATTGTAAGGTGTACTCTTTTGAGTACACTGACATTTCCGAGGTGGCTGTTATGCTTCAAGCAATTATTTCATCAATTAACTGCGTTATGTATGTGAGATTTTATGTTTGGTTTCAAGACGAACATGAAATCCTAGCGACACTTCTCCGAAGTCAAGATTTGCGTTCTGTTCGTAGTCGGGAACACGGCGTGTATTTAATAGTCCAGACAGCAACAAAAATAAAGAACGCCTCTTATAAACTTGCTTCTGAGCAAGTTCTGGCGTTCAGACTTTATCTCAAATATCATTACACTTCAAGGTCATGCGTGTGATCATTTCTTTAATAGCATTTTAACGGTGGTAATTAGTATGTGTAAATAAGAAGGCGAACTTGCAAAAATAAACAAGTGTGCACTACGATGTGACATGTCTAAAGTTGAATAATGTATTTACACAAAAAAAGGCAACAAAATAACTTTTCAGTCCAGAGAAAGAAGGTTCATATTAAGGTTGGATTACCAGTAATTATCATGCAGGGTTTCGTGATTTTATTCAGTTTTTTCCAGGCCATTACCAGGCACTAAACGGCGAGGACTATATTTTTCCAAATGTTTACATCTGCCTTCTCTGTTTGGTAATTCCGTCACACAGGCACACACATGCAGTGTGTTGACAAAACTGAATGTTTATGAGCTAATGTTTCGGCAGGATGTGCCATCATCAAGATCTTACAACAGAAAATGTTATGTGACATGAGTCGTATTGAAAGCATGTCAATTTATCTGTGTGTGTGGTGAAGTTTTAAAATTTTGTAATCCAATGTATTTAAATTAAAATTGTGGTGTAGGGTGTAACCGTATAAACTATTTTTCTGAGTTGTTCAGATAAAATATGTTGTATTAACATAACTTCCCCTTTCATTAGACACTGCATAGCCTCTGCATTTGAAGCAACATTTAAAAATGCTTAACCATTGCGAAACTTTTCGTTGCCATATATTTCGCATCTATGTTCATCTATCTTTGATATGCAATGTCAAAACTCAAAGTTTTGAAAGTGTTCACTTGTTATCGGTAACAACTGTACACGATGTTTACACTGTCGTGACGTCATTTCAATTTCCGCATTAGCAGCTGAGTAATAGAAGGATCTACAGACGCTTGCCCCAGAAACTCGGATACCTGATGACGGAAGCAGCAATGGGTTCCGAAACGTGTGTTTATCCAAAAGTCAGAAAACGGAGTGTAAAATTTATAAGGCTCTTAATGTAAGTATTAAATTCAGTGATATCTATAGGCATAACTTAAATGTTTTGCCATTTGCGACTGTCTGTCTGTCTGTCGGTATTGAATGTTGTAAATAAATACGATTACATTGGCCATCGGAAATGTTTGCATATACACTCGACGGTCAGACAGACGCACACAAACATTGCGTCATTGTGTTTCAAACGGTGAGAATGAAGAACACTTAACATATTTAAAGTCTCAAAGACACGTTTAGGAATTGTATAATGGCTTATACGTATGCATGTATAGAACTTCTAACATATTCAAACATAAAATATTTACGACTTTCATTCTAAATTTAGTTGAACAGATGATAACCGAAGAATTTCGCTGTTGGAATTGTTCATTACATTTTGCTTCCTGTGGCGGTATTTCTCTCCTGATATTCACTTCTTTCTGTAATCATTTAAGATAACTGACAACAAATATTAATTTAAATCAACTGAAGACTGAGACCTTTGAAGTGATAAACCGCGGTCTGACAAAAATAAAATATTTTGATTGCTGTTTTCGGGGTTTTAGCACCGTGTAGTATGGTAGAAGTTTATCGACGTTTCAGAGACTTTCCTGCCTTCATCATCAGGGCGATGAGAGAACAAGGATTTCTGGAACGTCGGTGAACATCTGCAAGGTCCTACAACCCAGAGGGCAGCCATATATATACGTAGTTGTATAGAATCCGCCCCGTCCTTTGTTATACGTCACAGGCCCTCTGAAACTTGATGCATAACTAAACTGATCTCTGAAGCTTCTTTCTTTTATGGGTGATCT